GATTTTACGAACATGGGAAAGGTGAGAGAGGGAGGACATTCACAAGTCATTGTAATCGCGGATCGTTTTTCTAAATTTGTGAACTTGATTCCTTTATCCCTCGTGCACCAATTGAGCTTGTGGTTGAAGAATTCCACCAGCAGTACATTCTGCAGTATGGCCACCATAAAACTTTTGTGAGTGATTGGGACACCCGGTTCATTAGTACTGATTGGAAGGACTTCACCTCTCAAATCTACGACATTAAACTCAACATGACTTTTGGTCAACACCCCGAAGCCAATGGGTTGACTGAGGAAATCAACTAGATCGTCATTCAACTACTTCACATGTTAATTGTTCCAGGTCAGAACACGTGGGACAAGGAGTTACACAAAGTGGAGGGGTTGTATAACAACTTCATTCACTCCGCAACTGTCGTGATACCGAATCAACTGCAATATGGTTGCCAGTTGCACAATCCTCTCTCGTATTTGTTCCCCGATCGGTCACTTGGTTTGACGCCCAGCATGCCGGGCTACAACGCCAAGTATGCATGCTTGCTCAAAGTTCTTATCGCATCGATCAACAATTGTTAGCATGCCATGATCAAACATGCTAACAAGTTGCGCAAAGCAGGGAATTTCGGCGTAGGAAGTCATGTCTGGAACTTAGAAAGGTGAGTGAGGGGGGACATTCACAAACCATGGTAATCGTGGATCGTTTTTCTAAATTTATGAACTTGATTCCTTTACCTCATCATGGACCAACTGAGCTTGTGATTGAAGAATTCCACCAGCAGTACATTCTGCAGTATGGCCCCCATAAAACTTTTCTGAGTGATTGGGACATCCGACTCATTAGTACTGACTGGAAGGACTTCACCTCTCAAATCTACAACATTAAACTCAACATGACTTCTGGTCGGCACCCCGAAGCCAATGGGTTGCCCGAGGAAATCAACCAGACCGTCATTCAACTACTTCGCGCGTTAATTGTTCCCGATCAGAACACGTGGGACAAGGAGTTACACAAAGTGAAGGGATTGTATAACGACTCCATTCACTCCGCAACTGGCGTGACATCGAATCAACTTCAATACGGTTGGCAGTTGCACAATCCTCTCTCATATTTATTCCCCGATCGGTCACCTGGTCTGACGCCCAACATGCCTGGCTACAATGCCAAGTATGCACGCTTGTTCAAAGTTGCTATCGCAGCGGTAAACAATCGTCAGCATGCCATGATCAAACATGCTAACAAGTTGCGCAAAGCAGGGAATTTTGAAGTAGGAAGTTATGTCTTCGAAAGGTGAGTGAGGGAGGACATTCACAAGCCATGGTAATCGTGGATCGTTTTTCTAAATTTATGAACTTGATTCCTTTACCTCATCATGGACCAACTGAGCTTGTGATTGAAGAATTTCACCAACAGTACATTCTGCAGTATGGCCCCCATAAAACTTTTGTGAGTGATTGGGACACCCGATTCATTAGTACTGATTGGAAGGACTTCACCTCTCAAATCTACAACATTAAACTCAACATGACTTTTGGTCAACACCCTGAAGCCAATGGGTTGGCCGAGGAATCAACCAGACCGTCATTCAACTACTTCGCGCGTTAATTGTTCCCGATCAGAACGCGTGGGACAAGGAGTTACACAAAGTGAAGGGGTTGTATAACAACTTCATTCACTCCGCAACTGGCGTAACACCGAATAAACTGCAATATGGTTGGCAGTTGCACAATCCTCTCTCCTATTTGTTCCCCGATCGGTCACCTGGTCTGATGCCCAGCATGCCTGGCTACAATGCCAAGTATGCATGCTTGCTTAAAGTTGATATAGCAGCGATGAACAATCATCAGCATGCCATGATCAAGCATGCTAACAAGTCGAGAAAAGCAAAGAATTTCGAAGTAGGAAATTATATTTGGAACTTGAAAAGGTGAGTGAGGAAGAACATTCACAAGTCATGGTAATCGTGGATCGTTTTTCTAAATTTATGAACTTAATTCTTTTACCTCGTCATGGACCAATTGAGCTTGTGATTGAAGAATTCCACCAGCAGTACATTCTGCAATATGGCCCCCATAAAACTTTTGTGAGTGATTGGGACACCCGGTTCATTAGTATTGATTGGAAGGACTTCACCTCTCAAATCTAGGACATCAAACTCAACATAGACTTCTGGTCGACACCCCGAAGCAAGTGGGTTGGCCGAGGAAATCAACCAGACCGCCATTCAACTACTTTGCGCGTTAATTGTTCCTGATCAGAACACGTGGGACAAGGAGTTACACAAAGTGAAGGGGTTGTGTAACAACTTCATTCACTCTGCAACTGGCATGACACCGAATCAACTACGATACGGTTGGCAGTTGCACAATCCACTCTCCTATTTGTTCCCCGATCCTAGTCTGACGCCCCGGCATGCTTGGCTACAATGCCAAGTATGCACGCTTGCTCAAAGTTGCTATCGCAGCGATGAACAAGTGTCAGCATGCCATGATCAAACATGTTAACAAGTCGGCCAAAGCAGGGAATTTCGAAGTAGGAAGTTATGTCTGGATCAAGATGTTTGAATTTTCCGAAAAAGAGGGAGTATCACGAAAGTTTTTTCCATTGTACTATGGTCCTTGGCAGGTTTTGAAGGTGGTAGGAGATGACAAATTTGGTCCTTCATACGTGATCGTCCTACCACCTCATTTGCATACGTATCCGGTCTTTCACGCATCCAAACTGTTTCCCCACATTAACAATGAGACTTTTCCCTACCGAGATCCTATGATTCCTCGTGCAGAATGCACCTCACCAGTAAGGAGGTCACATTCTGGATGCTATTGTTTTCTATTTTTTCTTGCTCGTGTGTTTCTTATAAGTCCCCTGCCAATGAGGCAAGGCGGAATCCGTGAATTGCTCAAGCCGTCCGTGATCTGCTCAAGCTGTGTTTTGTCAGAGGATTGTAACACTCATCACACTGGTACTAAGGGGAATGTATCCAACCATTTTCACGGCCGGATCCGTGTGCCCGTTTTTTTCCCCTTCTATTTTTTTTTCCGAATCTGACAACCTGGCCACGGGGCTGAGATGCCCTCACTGAGGGCACACTCACACTGCCACTTCCAAGAATGTATACAACTGCAATCACGGCCAAAGCTTCAATTTCGTTTTTTTCCTTTTTTCTTTTTTCCTGAGTTCACGGCCGCAACTTTTCTTCTTTTTTTTTTTTTTTGTTCTTCCCGTGAGAGTACTAGAAAGAAAACGGAGTGGTACCCAAGCTCGGCAAACTCGGAGCGCAGTGAAATTCAGGGTCGGCAAAAACAGGCTCGGAGGTACTAGTGGTTTAAAGCTTATAACGACACATCGTTGACGAACAGATTGCTAATTTTTCTGCAACACTTACTCCTCAAGGTTATACCGAAACTCTCTTTCTGATCTACGCCTGCGACGCATTTTGTGCCGACTCTGAATGAGTTACTCACTCGAACGGACCTCGCTCTTGAGAGGGGGATAGTGTAATGACCCGCCAAAACACAGACTGAGAACACTGCTGATTTCTGGGATTTGCTGATGGAATGTATGCCTTGCTGAGATTCCCTCATGCTGCTGTGAATTCTAAGTCTGCGTGTGTGTGTGTGCCTGCTGGTCTACGTGTCTGTCTGAGTGCTTGTCGACCTGAGTGTGTGCGTGACCCGCAAGGGTACTTGTTGGTTGGGAGGTCCCGCAGGGCCAGTACTTACTCGTGGTCGTGACTTTGAGGGTTGCAGCTGGGAAAAACACTCAAGTAGCGGGGGTAGGCCCGCGACAACTAGAGCAGCGGGAAAAACACTCTAGTAGGTAGGCCGGTACCACTCAAGTAATGGTAGAAGTGTCGGGCACTGAAGGCCGAGCAGAAGAAGACAAGAAGTTGGCATTTTTTTAGGCCCAGTAGCGGTAGGCTAGAGGTTTGGTGCCAGCCGAAGTAGCCTGAGTCTAGGGCCTGTATGGACGATATCAGAGCCTGCAATGATATTTCCCTCCGAAAGGGAGGAGGTACCGGTTGCTGGGAGGCCGCGCGGCATAGGAAGTCACCGCCAAGAGGCAAATAGGCCGCTATATCTTGGGGAGGAGCAAGTAGCTCCTCCTCATTTCCGGTGTGCAAGGATTGGCGATATACTGCTGGAGCCAAGCGCTGGACTTGGAGCGCTGCCTGGAGGAGGAGAGCAGCTGGGCGCTCAGCCTGGCTATGGAGAGCAGTCCATCCTGAGGTGGAGGAAGAAGGGGGGCGAAGGAGGAGAGTGGCAAGGTACCTACCTGGCAATTGTGGACAACATCTTCATCACCTTGATAGGCGCTGCATCCGGAAGGCCCCAGTTCGAGTAGTGCCGCATCAAGGAAGCTCGAGGCAGAGTCAGGCATGGCGGCCTGATGAGCAGCAACATAGCTGCTTTGTGTTGTCCTTTAGACAGGAGCGCAGAGCCCTTAGTAGTCCGCCATAGCCTTGGCATGTGAGAGGAGGGCGAAGGGGGAGGCCATGGTTATCATGGACCTGTTGTTGTGCTAGTTGTAAGAGGGAACTTCGGATATTGATTCTGGTTCATCCACTCATTGTTATTATTATTATTATTTAGAAGAAGAATAAGATTGGCGAAGTCAAGGAGGAGGAGGAAGGTGGAGAGAGAAGGGGGATTTGTCATTGGTCTTGCTGGTGTACATCTTCTTCTTCTTCTTCTTCTTCTTCTTCTTTCTGTCTTCTTTGGTCTCTATCACTTTGCAAGTGCTTTCATTTCTTTCGCAATTGGGTGGCATTGTCATTCCTTGTGAATTTGCACTTTGGAAATGACCAGGATCGTAACAAGATAAACTAGCAGACAAGGACTACTAAGGAGGTCACAACGAAAAAAGAAAAAGAGAGGCGAAGAGAACGATTCTCAGTGGCCACACAGCATCAGGCAGAGACACATGAGAATCCTGTAGGATTGTGTGACATATGGAGGCCTCTCATATGAGCAGGTGGGCATTGGTGGGACAGAGCAGACCTGTGCGTGAGCTTCCATGAGCGGTCTTTCCCATGCCATCATCACGCCCATGCTCTCCTCATCAATCAGCTTATCTCCGTCGTACTTGACTCGCTGATTCAAGTAACTCTCGTTCGAAGGCAATTCTGCTTTGCATTGTTCATTACGGATGTGTCTCCCTGAGGCTCCCAACACCAGCTCTGCACAGACAGCTGCTCTGGCCACACACAGCGCAGGCACATTCACAAGCCCAGTCAACATCTTTTAGGTTCTTGTTAGTGAGTGCAAGGAAAGGGGCTGAAACAGAGGCAAGGGGATGAGTAACAGAACCAAGACAAATGAGAGGAGAGTGGTAGGTACTGAACCAGCCAGTTCGGTTTGCCGTTTTGCAAGTTTGCAGACTGTCCCTAGAAAAATGCATCTTCGATGTGCAGACAATGATATGTGCGTTTGGATGGCGTTGGCATTCATGTACACATTCTAGCAGTGCTCCCTACCCTGCCGTCTCAATAGAACGCCCCGTCATTATCACTGTATCTAGTCCGAAAGTTGCACAAAATACAGTGATAATGACCAGGCATTCTGTTCCGGTAAAGGCCGTGGGGATTTAGCAGACCTACTGGGCTTAGTTGATCCTTCCTATGCAATGATCCGTACAAATCGCTGTCTGAGATTCCTGCAATTTCTGAGAAAATGATGTTCTTTCGGTCTGTTTTCTGAGTATTCCGAGTCTGTGTCTGTTCTGCTGTGATTTGCTGTGTTTTCTAAGTGTGTGTGTGCCGTTACATGTGCCATGTAGCTTGCCTCAGTCCAAGTCTGGGTCAGTGTGCTAACTGTGGTGGCCATGTGTGTGTGGCTGTGCCTCTGACAGGGACAAGGTAGGCATAGAGAGACGTCCAAGGGCAGCACTGAAAGTTAGTGGTAGGATATGCTGGCGGGTAGTTTAGCGTCCAGGGACAAAAGTAGAATTCGCTAAGGACCCTACAGGGATTTTCCACCAACTCAGCAGGGCCTGGAAGGGTCCGGTAGCTTGTTGTACGTAAGGATAGTCCAACGCCTGCATGTAGGAAGGAAGTAATCTAGGTTCAGGGCCTGTAGTCAGGTTTCAGGCTGCAATCACGTTCCTGCCAGAAGGAGAGAACACCCAGTAGGCCTGGTGCATCCGAGTAAGGAGGATTGAGGCACTCGGCAGGTAGTACCGGCTGAGGCATTGGAGGTCGGGAGGCAGAAAGCATATCATTCGGTGCGATGACCATTTTCCTCATTCACCCGACAGTCATGTTGATGCTTCGCCAAGAGAGAGAAGTGGCGAAGCTCCCAGAAGGAAAAGGTGGAGCTGGAGGGTGATGGTGAAGACCGCCATGGCTATGCAGTAGTAGGGAGGAGTTAGAAGTAGGCCTAGGCTATGGAGGTGAGAGAAAAGGATGTCTAGCTAGGCTAGGGAAGAATAGAGATAGGAGGAGAAAGGAGGTGCAAACAGGGAACGAGACTCAACTGGTGGGTACCGGTGGGTTGAGGACTTCATCTGGTAGAGTAGGCTTGGTGGCCGAACTGGGAGAGGGTGTGGAAGCTTTGCGTTGTCCTCTGAACATCAGAGCTAGGCTAGGATGAGCCACAGTCCGAGATGGGAAACCCCAAGCCTACCGCCGTCACCACTCAGCGAAAAGGAGGCCCTCTTAAAGCCCATCAGCAAGTATCTGGACCTTGTTCAGGAAACCGGACGAGGGGCAAGTTTTGGTGAGAATTTTTGCACCTAGACCAAAGTCATGACCTCTTCAGGTGTAGCAGATGTCATGGTTAATGCTTTTGCCTCTGCATCCATAAAACTGACCAGATCAATGAGGCAGGGATGTCCCCTCGGCCCTCCGCCCCACGGCCATTTGTCCTACAATTAGAGGTGTTACTCTCTCACTGATTGGAAGTGCGCCCCACAGCTATTTGTTCCCCTACGGTTAGAGGTATTACTCTCTCACTGCTTGGGAGTGTGGCAGTCATGCTCCCAAGGGTGAGCGAGTACAAATGTTTCCACCATGGCAGATGACGAGCTGTTTGCACTTTCTGATAACAGCCATCAATCAATCACTAACTGCTCCGGAGCGCTGTCTTGATCTTTACTCCCATACATCCAAAGCCCTCATCAACTGGTTAAAGTTCGCCCGTAAACCAAAGTGAGCGCTTCCTTGGGGTGCAGATTGAAATGCAGGACCCTAGAGCTTATGCAAGTCCGGTCTTAGAAAGCAAAATCATGGCAGAGCTGCAATATGCAAGTAACTTGAGACTGGAGTGTCGATATACGGGAGAGCGTTTTTCCTCAACTTTTCTCTCTTGTCAGATGTGTGGCATGCTGGCTGGAGGTCAGACACTCGCAAACAAAAACTTGTACCAAAATATCACGGCAGCTCCCACAAAACATATGGCAGCAGAACAGACAGAGGATTGGAATATGCAATCCAGAGACACAGGACTGAGCTCTCCTGCCCAGCTGGCCAATAAAAGCCCTCACCGACTACAGGGGATACCCCTTGCTGGATCTGGCTGATTGATACTGGCCAAGGAGTGGGAGCCGTGCAGCAGGGAAGATGTTAGGCTGTGCATGCTCACCCACCCATTCGTTAGGAAAAGGATTGCCTCCCCCACCTGGAAAGACATCCCTAAAGCCTGGCAGAAGTTATGCCAGTCCACTCCGGCCTGCTCTGCACGGGGACGGAGATCTAAAAATAGCAAATTATTTAAAGCAAGTGACCGTGAGGTCTGGTCCGCAGGGAGTCATCAGGAAACTTCCGGTCACACTAAGATACACTCAGGTAGGTGTCTCCAGGCTGGGGAGGGGAGGGGGGGTGGGGGGGGAATCCAGGTTGAAAGACGTACGGAATAGGGAGAGTTAAACCACCACCTGTACATCCAAGACCCCGAACGAGCCTACAATACTGGTCGTTTAAAGCAATGAAAATCAGCAGCCAAACTCACAAGCCAAGCTGAAATCCTTGAGGGTAACAAGCATGGAACTGAAGCAAGGAACGGGATCGCTCGGAGTGTGTGGGGGGGCTATGTCAAAAGGCCCATCGATACTTGGTGAACCGAATGAAAGGCTAGCGAATGGTAGTTCGATCTCAGGATCACATTCTTGACGAGGCTGAGGTTATAGTCACTACTCCAAGCTGGATTGAGTTGATACCCTCGGGGCAAGAGAAGCTTAGAACGGTAGTTAATAGTTCAGGAAGACATCCAACCAACCAGCAATGGTTGGAACCAAGCTTTGTCTCTCGGACCCCCCTGGCCGAGTATTATCAGAACTCAGGACGAGTCCACTTTGCTGTTCCTGGGTCGGGGGTTGGCTAAAACAGCATCCAGCAAAGTGGACTCGTCCTGAGTTGCTGGCATACATAATCCCATCTTGGGATGTCTGGATTGGAGTCTAGTTCTCATATCTCTGCTGGGCATGTATACAATCCGACAGGATCTGCTGAGGGCATACTCGCACTAGGACTTTTTCCTCCTCTCTTTGAACGTAATAGCGGTCAGGTGCGTCCAGGCCGGCTTGGAAAACCGGTCATATACATCCAGGAAAGCCCTAGTGTGAGTATGCCCTTAGACTGGTGGGGGATAGGCAGTGGTTGGAGTTTGACACAGACACAAGCTCAGATGGAATGAGAAGTTGGTGCTGGACATGGTGTCTTGCCAGTTGCCAACATTGTTTCCTCCAAAGGCTGGGAAGCGTTGCACCGGTGGTAAGATCAAGCATTTTCGCTAATGAGGTGCACTTATCACCTCTGAGATTGAAACTGCAGAAACAAGACTAAACCCGTCTCCAACCCCCACAAAGAAAAAAGAGGGAAAGGCAGAAGAGAAAAAGGGGACCTCCAGGTCTTCGTAGCCACAGTTGCCCTTCTGCCGCCCCCGCGCGCGCGCGCGCGCGTGTGTGTGTGTGTGTGTGTGTGTGTGTGTGTGTGTGTGTGTGTGTGTGTGTGTGTGCTCGCTAAACACAACTCACAAGAAAAACATGACCGCGCCAGACGGTTTCCTTCAGGGGGTTAAACCCCCGACAGTGTGCCCAGGACGCGTTTGACTGATCGATAAAGGACTAACCACCACTCACCAGGTTGCCCAGAGTTAGCCATACCTCTCAGAAAAGTGGTTGGCTTTACTCAATCCAAACTCCGCGCAACAACGGCAGTAAGTCCAAGAAACTGGTCCGTCACAGTCATAAAATGTGCGTATCTGCGTGTGCGTCTGTGTGTGTGCCTGCGTGTGTGTGTTTCTCTCTCTGCCTGTGTGCCTGTGGGTGGTGGGTGGGAAGTCCAAGAATGGGAAAGGAATGGCTAAAAACAACCAAACAAGTAAGATAAGGTATCGTCGTCACGGACAGACTCGTACTGCCGTCTTCCCCTGAACAGAAGCACCCTCGTCATGACCGTATCGGACTGGAAAGGCGGCCCGTTAAGTGTGCGTTGTGTTCAGGGGAAGACCGCAGTTTCACGGATTCATCTGGAGGGTGACTCTCTGCAACCATTCCGCCATTCCTGACAGACTCCTCACAGTCCTGTCTTTACATCTCTGTATTCCCCGCCCCTCGCTGATGTTCCCATTCACTCCTCGCCATATCTCACCCTTCTTTCTCTCTCTTCATGGTTCCTGACAGCCATATCTCACCCCTCTTTTTTTCTTAAAAAAATAAAAAAAAATGGACCATTTCTCGGTTTATGCGTGTCATCCTTGCACAGG